CCAGGTCAAAGCTGTCTGTGTATCCATATGCCTGATCATCTGCTCCAGAGGGGTCAAAACCTTACCCAGCTTGTTATCCCAGTACTTAGCAACCTCTGCATATAGGGGGCCTTCAGTGGGCTGTAACAGTCATTCAGTAAACAGAACAAAACAAAACACCAGAAAACCACCCACCTTGGCTTGTCGCCCTCCAATCAGACTCCACGGATTGCCAGAGAGAGCCACCTACAGTGCTGATCTCTGCACACCTCTCCTCAGCTTAGACCCTTAAATGCACACCATGATATCTACACTTTGGCAGAAAAGACTCAAAACAGCCTTTCCTACCTTTCCAGCCTCGCTTCCTGCCACCCAGAGTACCAGAAGCTCTCCCTCACCTCCATATCTTATGCCTGCTATTCCTCTCCCTGGGACACACTTCAAGACTTCCCCTCATGCCCAACTCTCTTCTACGTGGCTAACCCTTACTTATCCTGCAAGATCCAGAATTTCTAAGATATGAACTCCTTCAGGAAGCCATCCCTGACTACCCATCCCCCCAGATGAGGTGACCTCCTCTATGCTCCCAAAGCACCCCGACATCCTCCTCTATGGTTCTCAGCACAGACACTGCACCTATTTGTCTACACACCTGCCCCCCTCCCCCACCAGCCCATACCTTAGGGCAAGAGCTGTGTTTGCCTCTCCAGCACCTGGCACAATACCCAGTGACATTAAATTAGACTGAATCATTCTTCTCACTTACTAGTTAAAATCAGACCCAACAACTATATATAATGCACTATTTCACTACAATATTGTAAACGACGTAGGCCCTATGTATACGTCAGCATAATATCAGCCATACCAAGGGGACATGTCCACAGATCTCAGCAAAAAAGCATTTACTACACACCCAGTCTTTAAATGAAAAGCATAAGATGCATCATGAACTTAGGAACTGCCAGGCATTCCACACTTGAGGAGTCCCTTTGGAGAGGTGTGGTGACCTAACCAACGCGGCCAACTGGCCAGAGTGGCTCCGGGTGCACGACCGATTTCCATTAAGCACAGCGGCGGGAGAAGAGAGTTCCGACCCAGTCAGGAACCAAAGGGAGGCCTGACAAAGGGAAGCTCCCCAAGGAAGCTCACAAGCACCCAGTGAGTCCCCCGGTACTCATTTCCTGAGAAGTGAGCACACAGTGACTTCAGGAGACGCCCCTGACATGGCCACTGGGGCACCCGAGGCTGGAGGCGGCAGGCTGTCAGCACATGGCTGGATGGAAACCATGAGCCTCACAGAATTCACAGTGTCAGCTTCACTCTGTGGATAATTAGTCTAATCGACCCTGGGCAGGGAACGAAGATAAGAAGGCAAACAGCTAATACAAGGAAGAACTGAGTCGCCTAGAGAAGCATACCTGCACTACTGGACGTGAAGGAAGGAAGGGGGTCTCCGAGTGCAGGGAGGGGGGAGGAGAAAATGAGGGCACATTTCACTGAGAAAGCAGCATTCCCAGAATAGATGGGATTCAAGAGATTCAGGATTGAACATTTCAGGAAAAGTGCCTGTTTGTTAACCTGAGCAGGAGTCAGGCTGATGGTAAGCTGATGCTATTTCTTCCTCCCACTCACCTGCATAATCAATTTACACACACCCTGTCTTAACCCTGCCCAGATTCACCCACTCATAAACAAATGGCCATGCTCCCTCAGTAAGAAAAGTCACGGTGAGCCACAGGGGTACACGTCTTCTGCGTGGGTCCCTCCCCTCCTCTACATCCACATGAAGGGGCTGGGGTTCAACCCTACGGGAACTCAGAATCATCACTGAACAGCTCCTCCCTCCCTCCCCCCCATTCCCCTGACGCTCAAACTGGGGAACCTGCCACCAAGCCAATTCCTCCTCCACACCCTCATGGAGAAGTCCCTCAAATCTGGCCTCTTCTCTCCCAGCCCACGGCCTCTGCTCCACTTCAGTCCTCACCACCTCCCACAGTAACGGCTGCAACAGCCTCTTGCCCTTCCTGCTGCCACCTCCACAATCTGGCTGCATCAACTTCACCAGATTGATCTTTCCAAAATAAATAATCTTATCACACCTGCCTAGTTAAAAAAACCTTCCAGATCCCCATTCTCTAGGAGATATAACCCTAAGTCCTTAGTATGACATTCCAGATACTGCACCAAGTGATTCAAGCTGGCCTCTGCTGTCTCAGCCCTCACGCCTCTCCTTCCACGTGCTGGGTGCCCTGCTGAACCCAGGGTGTGCTCTCATTCCCAACCATCTCAGCGTCCACCAAGGCCTGCACCTTATTCCACTTGCCCCGCCCAGTACAATCTTGCTCACCCAAGACCCAGTTCAAACGACCATTTCTTCTTCACCACTTTCACTTTGACTTGGACATCCCTTTCACTTCCCTAGAATATCAAATAGTGGCCACAAAGACCATCAAACTTATATTGAAGTGTTTGAAAAGCTTCCCAGCCAAAATTAACTATTTTAGTTTCACAAGCCCAGTGAAGATGAAAAGCAGGGTCTTGTTCACTTGTGGGTAGAGCGCTTCGGCCCTTTGAAAGTTAGGGACTTGCTACCAGTAAGTCAAGGGCACCCAGTCTACAATGCAGTACTTCTAACTTGCTTACTCTGCCTTGAGCTCTTTTCTAGAGTTCTTGTCCACGTCATATCTCCCTACCCAGACTGAGAGCCTAGAGAGCCAAAGTTGTGTCTTCTCTTTCTAAGGCACCTACCAAGTCTGAGCACAGTGCAAATGTGCAAAATCAATAAATGTTTGCGAAACCAATAAACGTTTGCGAAATGTTTGCAAAAGTTATACCAATGTAAATGGTGCACCATTTACGGGACAAAAGTGGATTTGGCGCGAACAAAAAATTGTTCGTACTTTGCTCATCTCCGAGGACCAGTATACTACTTAACATGTAATAGGAGCCTAGTGGTCACTGAATTTAATAAATAAATGAATGATACGGCAAAAACTGAGAAATCATTAAGCAACATCGTTTCTGCAGTCATCCATTCATTCAACAAATATTTATTTACCAAGCACCCATGTGCCAGGATCTCTGTGGCTCTGAAACCTAACTTCCTCCCAGAGCCAGAGCCCTGCTCCCTAGCTAATGCATCTCAGTGCTTGGGGTCATCTTGTAGGCAGTGGGCATAGCCAAGGTGGCCATGTCTCAATAATGCCCAGGACGGTCCCAGTTTACGCCTACTCTCCAAGCATTAATTATTAACAGCATCCCCTTTCTCTCTCAACAATGCCCGGGTCTAGACAATTATATAACCCTGAGAGTAGTCAATCTTTCACGACAAGCTGGCTAGGGATTCAAACTTTCACTCCACATTTACTAGCTACTTCCACTCTTGTTTCCTCACTTATAATACCGGCAGGACACTGATTAAACTAAATGGTTATACACAGAAAAGCAGCTCGGGACAAGGCTGGGACATCAGATTGAGACCACACTGTAGAGAGCTTTGCATGCCAGGTACATGGATATTTAATTTAATCTACTACAAGGGGCCATAAAAATTTCTGAGGAAGGGCATGAATGTACGGTCAGAGCATCATGAAAGTGTTACGATCTCGATGACAGAAAAGAACTAAGACAGGAGGAATGAAAAAGAGCTGGCTCCAGGTCACACCAAAAAGACAGCCTAAAGCTATAACTAAAAGTTGTCACAGATGAAAATAGCAACAAATATGTTATTTCATCATTTGCCTTTACCTATAGCTTAAAAGTTTCAACAACGAACAGATGTAGCTGAGCAAGCTCTAGTTCATCGGCCTGTGTCCTTAGGGCCATTACTGCAAGGGACAGGCTGTAAGGAAGGTTTTGGACTGCCCGGCTTGCCCTCTCGTCTGCCAGTCGAGTAAAGGAGCCGGAGTTCGGTTGTGTTTGTTTTTATTTTAAGGGCTACACTTTAAACATAGTATTCGTTGTCAGGAGTTTCCGGACATCGAAGAGATGGGCAGGAATCTTCACCCGCCTCCTCCAGATCTTCCACTATTGCATCATTTGCAACTAAGCCTCCTCAGGCAGCGACTAGTCAAATTTAAGGCAGGTAAAATGGCAGCAGCAGCAGCTGTGTGTGGGAGCTGCCGTCGCCGCCGCCGGCCTCGACTTCAAGAGCAAGAGCGCGTCTCTCCGGCGCGGCCAAGTGCTGAAAGGAACAGTCAATAAATCAACAGGTCCGGCGCGCCCGCCCGAGGGTGCCCAGACCCCGGCGCGCGGCCGCAGGAGGAAGCGGCCAATTACCTAAGAACAGCCGAGGCGACGGGAGGCCGGAGTCGTTCTCAAAGCGCCTCCCCTCCGTCTACCGCCGACACTGGGGACCTGCCTGGGAAAAGCCCGCGCCCCGCGGACGGAGGGGAAAGCACCAGGTCCTGGGCTGCTGTTCCGCTCCCCTAGCCCTCCAGCCCCTCGGCAGCCCCTGCCCTGCCCGCTCGGTCAGACACCCCTGGGGCTCCTTCTTCCTCCGGCTGTCCCCGCTCCTCTCATATCATCGATTGTAAGCCTTTCGGTTCTGCCACCGGGAAACTTCCATAGAAGGTGAGATTCCCAGGTCAAGAGACGATTCCACAAACCCCAGAGGACCAGTGTCGGGACTTCAGGGTCAGACCTCATCAAGCCCAGGCGTCCCTGGCGAAGCTCAGAACAGCTCGGTGCTGCGGGTCCTGCGCTCCCGCGCGCTCGCACCCATCCACCCGCCGAGCGGACGTGGTGGCCTCCATCCCCACGACCCCACGGTGCCGGCGCCCCGAACCTCGGAGCGGCCCCGCTCCGAACCCCGCAGAAGCCTCCTCGCTCCTGCGGGGACAGACGTCCCAAGGCTGGATGCCCCCCCCCGCAGCCCTTGCCCTTGCCCCTTCCTCCAGGCGGGGGGCTGCCTGTCCCAGACCCGGGACCAAGGGGGCGGGACCTTGGCCGTCCCGGCCAGGCTCGCTCATCCCTCCCGTGCTCCAAGGGCAGTGCCCGCACTTCCCACCGGCCAGTACCTCGTCCGCTTCCAGCTCTTCTCCGTTGCCTACGAGCGCCATGTTCCACCTCCGGCTGCCGCCGCCCAAAAACCAAGCAGAGAGCTCAGAGCCGACTCGGTTTCTCGGCTCCGGGCTCAGCCCAGCGCCGGCGAGGGAGGAAGGGGGCGGCCCCGCGCTCCCGCCGGGTCCCGGGCGGGGCCCGCGCGCAGCTAGGCGAGGGCTTTCCCCGCCCCCGGCGCCCGCAGACCCGCAGCGCACCCATTTCCCGAGCGGGGCCGGCGGCCCGCCCGCCACAAGCTCCGCCCCGCACAGGCCTCGCCCCGCCCCCCCACGGGGCTCAGACCCGAGCGGCCAACCAGGTTCCCGCAACGCGTCTCCGCTCCCAGCCGGGCGTGGCCTCGGACCAATGTGGGCGGGGTCATCCCGTGGGCGGAGTCACCCGGTGGGCGGAGTCACTTCGCGGACTGAGATTTCGCCGGGCCCGCCCACCCTCTGGGAAAGTACCCGGTAGTGTCCGCTTCCTGCGCTCTGCCGAGGACTAGCACTCGTCTGCAGCCAGCAGAGCGCCCGGTTGGCGAGGCCAAGGTCAAAGCCGCGCTACCTCTGAGGCCCGTGGAAGCGTCCACCTGGTCATTAGGCCAATGCCGGTCCGCTTCCCTCACCAAGTGGCACTGCGTCTCGCAGATGGTGTGGCTAGAGGGCAGCCTTGGGTCACGGTCACTGGTCACCCGAAGGACCCTGTCACGCCACCTGCCCGGACACTAGGTCAGGAGCATCGTCTTCAGATGCAGGGGCGCTGTATTTGCTTCTGTATATGCTTGAAAAAGAAAAGAAAAACCACGGGACAGACATTTATGCAACTTAGAGCTCCTCTACCCCTCTTTCCACTTCCCTGTCACGTTTATATCCCCACAGCATCCGCACTGAACCGATCTGTAACCCAAAACACATGTATATAATCCGTGCTTGAACTATAAGCTCCATGAAGGAGGCTGCCTGTCTTCTTCAAGGCTGTATCCTCAGCACCTAGAACAGTGCCTTGTGCATAGTAGATGCTCAACAAATATTTGTTGGCTAAGTTTAGAAATTGATTCTTGCTTCCAACATGTAAAATAATTGAACTATCTAACTGGAAAATTAAAAGCTATATTTTTAGGGTTGTTTTTGTTATTGTTGTTGTTTTGGTCAGCTTTATTTTACATACGATAAAATTCACCAAGTTTAAGTGTGTAATTCATGACAAATGTTTACAAAACACCATTGCATTCATAGCATAGAACAGCCCAAAAAGTTCCCTATGCCCCTTTGCTGTCAATTTCCTACCCCCACTCCCTGGCCTCTGGCAACCACTGATCTGCTTTCTATCACCATTGTTTTGCCTTTCTAGAATTTCATATAAATTGAATCATAGAGCATGTGGTCTTTTGTGTCTGGCTGGCGAAAGGCTATTTAATGGTCATCCAGTGATAATTATAAAAATAGTTAACATTTATTGAGCACTTACTATGTGCCAGGACCATGCTGAGCCCCTTGCATATATTATCTCATTTATCCTTCACAACCCCGTGAAATAGCTAGTTATCTTACAGATGAGTAAACTGAGGCTTAGACAGTTTAAGTAGCTTACTTGAGGTCAGATAGCTATTAAGCAAATAGGGATGTCAGAATCTGAACTCCAGCAGTCTGACTCTAGGGCGCGGCTGGTAACCATTGCTGTGCACTGCCCCCAGCTACCCACCCCCCTTTCTTTCTCCCTATTTGTTTCAGGAGAGCAGCTGCCTGCACATGTCTGTTACACACATTTTCAGTGAGTCATCTTTGCATCCTTGAAATTTGCTCTACGACTTTAATGAGTCACTATATACTCTTATACTAGAAAAATAAAATGGCTGTCCCCCATAAACAATGGGAAAAAATGGGTTAGATTGTGGTGATGGTTGCACAACTCCAAGAATTTACTACAAATCATTGAATTGTATGCTTATAATGGATGAATTTTATGGTTATGTACATTATATCTCAATGAAGCCAATTTTTAAAACTGGTTAACACATTCTTTGGGTGCTCTTAGAATCATATATGGTGCTAGAAGGGACCAAGAAGTCATTAATTCCAACACCCCTGAAAGTTTCCATTCCTCCCCCCACCTCCTTCTGTTTGTGCTTCACTTTCTTAGGCTAGATTCTACTCTGTATTACTCATGCGGGATTCCGTTTTTTAAAGTTCATTGGTTCCTAAATTAATATCACATCTTTTTGACATTGGTGGCTTATTCTCTCCCATATGCTTTGTTTTTGTCTTATGAATTTCAACTCCTCAGATTTTGAAGAGATACAGAACTTGGCTCTAATTTGTAGCATGATTATGTTATAATGAGAATCAAGTCTAGTTTTTCAGAAATCTATTCTTGTAGATGAATTTTGGTGGGGTTATTTTTTAATATCAAGGATCAAATCTGAAGCCCTGTATGTTTTGAATTCATGTCACTAGATAAACAACACTCACCTTTCTGAGAAAGCCGATTATAAACACTGAATGAATAAATGTGTTCTAGCCACTGCAACATCTAATCTAATTTGCTTTGCTCCTGGCAGATGCCAACTTCTTTTCCTGCACATGTGTAATTTTACGAGATCATGAATCACAAATATAAAACAGCTTTTTTCAAAGAACAGTTAGAATAGATTCATTTTCGTAACAGAACTTCCCTTGCCAGTTTGGTAATAACACTGTACTCTAAGAGTCAAGTGAGATTACTCAGATATTCCATTTCCCAAAAGTAACCAGCATAGGGATTAAGCAAGAGCAGTGTCTGATTTTTTTTTTTTTGTTTGGAAGACACACCTATTGGGAGCTGTTTGGGTTTCTGAATAACTTCAACATTGCAGACAATCTAACCTTTAGTATTCCTGAAACTGTTACCCTCGGCAGACATAAGATTTTTTGTTGATACTTGATTTAGATTAAAATTGCATCTTTATCATTTGTGTAATAGGAGAGAGAATGGTTTTGCATTTAAAAATAAAAATTTTTAGGGCCAGCCCCAGTGGCCTAGCGGTTAAGTTCGGCGTGCTCCACTTTGGCAGCCCAAGGTCAGTTCCCAGGCACGGACCTACACCACTCATCTGTCAGCAGCCATGCTGTGGTGGCGGCTCACATACAAAAAGAGGAAGATTGACAACAGATGTTAGCTCAGGGCAAATCTTCCTCAGCAAAAAAATAAAATAAAAATAATTTTTAGATGCACATATCCGTGAAATAAGTGTTCATTGTAAATCCTGCATTTATCAATGGCTCTGTCTCACATTCATGTTTTAGCTCCTCAAAGAGAACTTCCCCTTCTGAAGTAGCCCCCCCCCAATCACAGGCTACCTGTCTTCCTGCTGCCTCCATAGCACTTATCACTATCTGAAACAATCTTCTTCTTTTATTTGTTAACTTGTTTACGGTGTGTCTCCCTCAACAACAACACCCCTTCACACACTATAATATAAGCTCCCTGAGGAGCTTGTGTTTTGTGTCTACAACCAAAACCCCAGTGCCCAACACTTAATGGATATCATGGTTATTAAGCAAATGAGAGAAAATATAAAAAGTTCATAATACACAGAACATTATTGTTTAGACCTTGTAATGCCAATGCTTTAACATAATGATTTTTTAAAGATGGAGAAAAACAGTGATAATGAGGGAGATTAAAGAATGCAAATTACATGAAGTCTAAAAAGTAAATACTGTTGCTAGGGTAATGTGGCAGGCAAGATGACTATCTTTAATGCCTTCTCATTTTTTCAAAATTATGCAAAAGCTAAGCACTTAGCGTTTCCTCAGTGACCCAAAGGGGATCAACTCATATCTTTGGGAGAGGCTTAGACACTGAGGAGGGGAAAACTCATCTGGACTCATCTAGTGGAGGCTGAAATCCTCCCTGAAGAATATCCCTGTTTTTGTGTGTGTGTGTGTGTGTGAGGAAGATCAGCCCTGAGCTAACATCCACACTAATCCTCCTCTTTTTGCTGACGAAGACTGGCTCTGAGCTAACATCTATTGCCAATCCTCCTCCTTTTTTTTTCCCCAAAGCCCCAGTAGATAGTTGTATGTTACAGTTGAATATCCTTCTAGTTGCTGTATGTGGGACGCAGCCTCAGCATGGTCGGAGAAGCAGTGCATCAGTGCGCGCCCGGGATCCAAACCTGGGCCACCAGTAGCAGAGCGCGCGCACTTAAACTCTAAGCCAAGGGGCCAGCCCAGAATATCCCTGTTCTGTAGACATTTTTCCAAAGATATACAGATGGCCAAAAGGCATATGAAAAGATGTTCAACATCACTAATCATTAGGGAAATGCAAATCAAAACTACAATGAGATATCACCTCACATCTGTCAGAATGGCTATTATTAAAAAGACAAGAAATAACAAGTGTTGGAGAGGATCTGGAGAAAACAGAACCCTCGTACACTGCTGATGGGAATGTAAATTGATGCAGCCACTGTGGAAAGCAGTATGGCGAGTCCTCAAAAAATTAACAATAGGACTATCATTTGACCCACCTATTCCACTTCTGGGTATTTATCCAAAGAACATGAAAACACTGATTCGAAAAGATATGTGCACCCCTATGTTCATTGCAGCATTATTCACAATAGCCAAGACTTGGAAGCAACCTAAGTGTCCATCAATGGATGAGTAGATAAAGAAGATGTGGTATATATAAACAATGGAATACTACTCAGCCATTAAAAAGATGAAATCTTGACATTTTTGACAACATGGATGAACCTTGAGAGTATTATGCTAAGTGAAGTAAGCCAGATGGAGAAAGACAATTACTGTATGATTTCACTCATATGTGGAAGATACACAAACAAACACATAGATACAGAGAATAGATTGGTGATTACCAGAGGGGAAGAGGGTCAGGGGTGGGAGGAAGGGTCAAAGGGGCACATATGTATGGTGACAGATGGGAACTAGACTCTTGGTAGTGAACACAATGCAGTCCATACAGAAGTAGAAATACAATGATGTACACCTGAAATTTATATAACGTTTGTTATAAACCAATGTGACCTCAGTTTGAAAAAAAAGCCTATCCCTGTTCTAGGCCTTTGGAGCTGGGTAAACATTCATTTTGCCCTATTTATCAGTTGTTTGTTCACTTTTTTCTCAAACATATATAGATATGAAATCTTTCCACTTGCCTTCCTATTTATTTGCACTATAACTCTTTAAATTAGATTAATCTCACTTTTTTCAGATGAG